GACATCCTCGGCGTCTCCACGGGTCACACTCTTTCCCCTCTTCACTCTCTCATGCAGGAAACACAATGGCACAGATTGGGCTTGCAGAAATACGGGTCTTTATGATAATCATGTGGCATTGAAAACTCCAGAGGCTGTGTGTGATTTGCCCTCACCCACATCCTCACACCTGTCATCGGCGGAGCAGCGGCTGCAGTCCGAGCTCCTACAGTGACGGCTCGGTGATCACGGTTCAGGCTCACGGGAGAACAGGCTGCGGATGAGTCTGTTTCAGGAGATTACAAGCATATTCTGTCTCTGTGTCTCTGTCTCTGTCCCTGTATTACTGCCTCTGTGTCTCTCTGTGTCTCTCTCTGTGTCTCTTTGTTTCTCTGTCTCTCTATCTCTGTGTCTGTCTCTGCGTCTCTCTGTGTCTCTCTGTGTCTGTCTCTGTGTCTCTTTGTGTCTCTGTCTCTCTATCTCTGTGTCTGTCTCTGCGTCTCTCTGTGTCTCTCTGTGTCTGTCTCTGTGTCTCTTTGTGTCTCTGTCTCTCTATTTCTGTGTTTGTCTCTGTGTCTCTCTGTGTCTCTTTGTGTCTCTGTCTCTCTATCTCTGTGTCTGTCTCTGCGTCTATCTGCGTCTCTCTGTGTCTCTTTGTGTCTCTGTCTCTCTATCTCTGTGTCTGTCTCTGCGTCTCTCTGTGTCTGTCTCTGTGTCTCTTTGTCTCTGTCTCTCTATCTCTGTGTCTGTCTCTGCGTCTCTCTGTGTCTCTCTGTGTCTGTCTCTGCGTCTCTCTGTGTCTGTCTCTGTGTCTCTGTCTCTCTATCTCTGTGTCTGTCTCTGCGTCTCTCTGTGTCTCTCTGTGTCTCTTTGTGTCTCTGTCTCTCTATCTCTGTGTCTGTCTCTGCGTCTCTGTGTGTCTCTCTGTGTCTCTTTGTGTCTCTGTCTCTCTATCTCTGTGTCTGTCTCTGCGTCTCTCTGTGTCTCTCTGTGTCTGTCTCTGCGTCTCTCTGTGTCTGTCTCTGTGTCTCTGTCTCTCTATCTCTGTGTCTGTCTTTGCGTCTCTCTGTGTCTCTCTGTGTCTCTTTGTGTCTCTGTCTCTCTATCTCTGTGTCTGTCTCTGCGTCTCTCTGTGTCTCTCTGTGTCTGTCTCTGCGTCTCTCTGTGTCTGTCTCTGTGTCTCTGTGTCTGTCTTTGCGTCTCTCTGTGTCTCTCTGTGTCTCTTTGTGTCTCTGTCTCTCTATCTCTGTGTCTGTCTCTGCGTCTCTCTGTCTCTATCTCTGTATTTCTGTCTCTGTGTCAAAAAACTAAACTCTTCATCTTTCCCTCACATTGAGAGTTGGAGCAAAACTTCCAAGACAAGAGTACTTCCCTGTCGGGCTTCGATGAGCTAGTGGGTTGGCGTTGTCCTTTACAGAAACAGTCTATGAGTTGGAATGAAAACCTGCGAGGACCTAAAAATCCGACACCCTCTCCTGCCGCAGTCTGAATCTACCTGAGAACAGCTGTACAGGTGTGAGGCGGGGCGAGCGAGCCGAGGGGGGAGACTTAGCATCGCTCTTTCCTCAAACGGCGCGGATTAACTTAGCGCCGATGTGAAAGGGGCGCGGGGTTAGCTTAGCGCTGATGTGAAAGGGGCGCGGAGCCAGAGCTGATTCCATAATTACGGCTGTTCTCGGACTTGAAGAGGCCTGTCCTTGTCACTAATATGTGTAAAGCTTTTATCATTATTGACACCTGCGCTCTGAGTCATCCCAGTGCCCAGCTGGGACCAGAGAGAGACCAAAGAGAGACCAGAGAGAGGGAGAAGGACCAGAGAGTTCAGACCAGAGACCAGAGTTGCCAAACTGTGGTGTTGTCTCACTCACATTAGAATGAGCCTGGTGTGTTTGTGAGTGGTTGGTGGTGGGTTTTTTTTATCATTAACTGTTTGTCTCTCTCTCTCTTTTTTGGCTCAGTGCTTTTGTGTATGAACTGCGCTATACAAATAAAATAAACAAATGTCTGTGATTTGAAAGATCCCTTCAGTCCTTCCCGGCTGGCCCAGTCTCCTCGCTCCTCGGAGGTTAGCGTGACAGCGAGCTGCTAATCATCCGGTCACGCAGGCTCTCGCGCTCGGCTGCCACAAAGCAAGCAGGGCCTGTTGCCGTGGAAACATAATATGTAGAGCAGGTGAAGGCCCGCCCCCTGGACCTCACCTGGAGCCCAGTGACATTTACAAACGACGTGTTGCACAAGCACCGTGTGAGCTTATCTGGTGTCGTCAAAGGTCAGACAGCTGCAGACTCAGGGAAGAAGCAGGAACATCCACTCTGACAACACAGCTACTGACCAGCTCTGAGCCAAGTTAAAGCTCGGGTACCTGACTTTCAAGCTGCAACTATGGGACTGGATCTGGAAGACTAGGGTTGATGAAAATCTGTGTTCTGTGTTTGAGTTCCATAAACCAGGGAGAGAATAGAGAGAGACCAGAAAGAAAGAGCAAAAAGGGACCAGACAGAGACCAGAGAGGGACCAGACGGAGACCAGAGAGAGAGAGACCAGAGGGAGACTATAGAGAGAGACCGGAGAGAGACCAGAGAGGGACCAGACGGAGACCAGAGAGAGACCAGACGGAGACCAGCGAGAGAGAGACCAGAGGGAGACTATAGAGAGAGACCGGATAGAGACAAGAGAGAGACCAGAGAGAGACCAGACGGAGACTATAGAGAGAGACCGGAGAGAGACCAGAGAGAGACCAGACGGAGACCAGACACAGACCAGAGAGAGAGAGTAGAGGGAGGCTAGAGAGAGACCGGAGAAAGACCAAAGAGAGACCAGAATTTCAAACTACAACTACGCAATATAATCCATGTCTCTCGTCCTTCGCTCTTAAAAGCAGTTTGGTTCTGTCACTAGTTTTTACATCTGTCACTTCTGTAGATCAGCTTTTTCAAACAGAAAAGTGAAACAAAGGGGACCATCCCCCCAGAGAGACAAATAGTGACTCTTACTTACACAAAATAAAACGTTTTCTGATTAGACGCAGAAAGAATGTGACTTGTTCAAGACTCTTTCTATTGAGACAAGACACATGTAAAAATATAGGTAAGTAATCTTTATTTTTTATAGCGCATTTTACAGACCAACGCTCTACAATGTTCATCAAAGTTCAGATATTCAGGTAGTCCAGTTAAATTTGGACCTGGCCTTGGTTTTAATTTTGAATAATAGTCACATATCAATAGAGACGCATCTATATGACGTAGATGATTCTTTGTAGATGTAGAGTCTCGTTGTTTGATTCGAACCAAAACTGATGATAGATGATCGAAAGGATGAGAGAACTAGGATCAATACGTTGAGTTGCTTAATGACTTCCTGATACTTAAAACAGCAATAAAAGGATTCTGTCTCTCTCTGCTGACCTATGACCTATGACCCTTGCATACGCACAATGACACAGTCGTTATTGATTTGAACAATATCCTCCAAAGAACAAGAGAGAGGGAGGGGTGAGAACCTTGGCCATGTTCAAAGTTCAAATTCAATTTCAATTCAATTAGATGTGTTTGTGGATCGCCCTAAATCTCAGCAGCAGTCGTCTCGGAGGATTTGATTCACCGACAACAGATCAGAGAATCAAGCCGTTCATTGGTCTCTAGGGAGCGGGATGATCACTGAATATTCACTATTATTAGGATTACTATTGCAACAACACATCATCAGTAGGGTAAAACTAACCTGTCTCACTGCGGTCTAATATATGCCTTTGTGGTCCAGGTTTGAAGGTAAAGATTTCTGTGTCTGTAACTCTGTCTCAAGAAAGTTTCAAAGAAGGCCGCACATCCCTGTAGTCTGGGCTAGCGTGCTGGATTAAAAAATTGCAAAATGTAAAAACAGTGAAAAAAATCCTCTGTGACTCTGTCTCAGTCAAAGTCCACAATTTGACTCGTCAGATCTGTTACAGCTGTTGTTACAAACACTAAATACATATGACCCACAGATGTCATGTATGTGCGCAGACAGAATAGATTCGTTGTACTTCGGACACACAACGGAATCTCACATCCTCCCTCGGCTCCTTGTGTCTGGGTCTGGGTCCAGTCCCTGATGTGTCTGAGATCAGGATCCAGTTCCTAATGACTCTGAGGTTTGGGTCCAGTTCCTGATGACTCTGAGGTCTGGATCCAGTCCCTGATGTGTCTGAGGTCTAGGCCCAGTCCCTGATGACTCTGAGGTCTGGGTCCAGTCCCTGATGTGTCTGAGGGTAGGATCCAGTCCCTGATGTGTCTGAGGGTAGGATCCAGTCCCTGATGACTCTGAGGTCAAGATCAAGTTCCTTATGTGTCTGAGGTCTAGATCCAGCCCTGATGTCTCTGAGGTCTGGGTCCAGTCCCTGTTGTTCCTGAGGTCTGGGTCCAGTCGCTGAGGTCTGGGTCCAGTCCATAGACTGTATATATTAATGGACAGAGTCCCGCCTATCTCCGCCGTTCAAACAAATGGGCCAAAAAATGTGCTCTACTGGAGCTATCCAAAATGGCCGCGAGTGGTCCCGCCCACAAGAAAATTGGGAAAAAACGCATCTGCGCATGTGTCAGCCGGCGCAGCTCCATTCATTTGAACGAGAGACTTCAAAAATTCACAGCGAGTAAACTAGAGTGGACTAAAAAAATCCACCCCCCTCAGCATTGACACACATGTGGAACGGAGCTTTGAGCCAAGAGCCAACTTTTGGACCATCCTGTAAAGACGTTTTTGAGAGGTCTGCCAATGCTATATGTTAGCATTGGCTAATTCTTCTTCTGGGTCCACCCCCACAGGCCCGGGGTGGTATTGCAAGCATGTCAGCGCATGTCATTTTGGCCACTTTTGAGCCGGGACCCACTCCCACTGGTCCAGTCCCTATTGTTCCTGAGGTGTGGGTCCAGTTCCTGATGACACTGAGGTCTGGGTCCAGTCCTGGTTGTGCCTGAGGTCTGGGTCAAGTCCCTAATGACTCTGAGGTTTGGGTCCAATCCCTCTTGTGTCTGGGGTCTGGGTCAAGTCCCTGATGTCTCTGAGGTTTGGGTCCAATCCCTCTTGTGTCTGGGGTCTGGGTCAAGTCCCTGATGTCTCTGAGGTCTGGGTCCAGTCCCTGATGTCTCTGAGGTCTGGGTCCAGTCCCTGATGTGTCTGAGGTCTGGGTCCAGTCCCTGAGGTCTCTGAGGTCTAGGCCCAGTCCCTGATGTGTCTGAGGTTTGGGTCCAGTCCCTGATGTCTTTGAGGTCCGAGTCCAGTCCCTGATGTCTCTTAGGTCTGGGTCCAGTCCCTGATGTGTCTGAGGTCTGGGTCCAGTCCTTACAGTTGTCTTGGACTTCATACAGACTCGGTAAATAGACAGTGTGGACAAGGCGTCTCAGTCTGCGGACACTGGACCGGTCTGTGTCTTTGTTTGTTGATGGAGCTGTCTCCTCTTCATCGCTGCAGCACCGCACATCACTGAGAGCGATTGTTTCACCCTCAGGAAGAACAACTCCATTCACAATCCAGACCATTTGAATCATTGTTACTAGTGTGCTTGTGTGGATATAGTGAAAGCTTTGAACTGAGCTGGGACCTTTATCCACATTTGTTAACATTTAGATAGACATCTTTTTGGAATAGAGCCCAAGAAGATTTGCAGAAGCTAATGGGGATCATTATAAATACATAAATATGGCCTCCTATGGCTCCTATGTGTTTGTTATTATTGCATTTGCATTTCCTGTGTTCAAACGGTTTCTCTAATCTGTTGTTGGTGAATCCACAACTTCAAGGCGAGACACAAACAGTAGAATTTGGATGCTTGATGTCTCTATCGGATCAGAGTAGTCAGACCGGTCTTCTTAAAGATCTGGTTGGAGGGTCCGACTCTTTTGTTTATTTTGATGTCTAAAACTCAGGATTTTAAGTGTGTGTGTATGTGACTGTCTGTGTGTATGTGTGTGTGTGTGTGTGTATATGTGTGTGTGTTTCTGCAGGCTCGGCTGTATATCTGCAGTATTCCTGGTCACTGATTGGCCGCTTCAGTGCTGGGGATTAGACTAACAGGATTCCCGAGGAGTATTTACAGCTTTAATGATTCCATGACTTTATTTTTAGGGTCTTCGGTATCTGCATCATCAGCACCGTCTCTCCAAACCAGGACTCAGTGTGTAGATCCAGGACTGAGGCTGTAGATCCAGGACTGAGGCTGTAGATCCAGGACTGAGGCTGTAGACCAAGGACTGAGGCTGTAGATCCAGGACTGAGGCTGTAGATCCAGGACTGAGGCTGTAGATCCAGGACTGAGGCTGCAGATCCAGGACTGAGGCTGTAGACCAAGGACTGAGACTGTAGATCCAGGACTGAGGCTGTAGATCCAGGACTAAAGCTGTAGATCCAGGACTGAGGCTCTAGATCCAGGACTGAGGCTCTAGATCCAGGACTGAGGCTGTAGACCAAGGACTGAGGCTGTAGATCCAGGACTGAGGCTGTAGATCCAGGACTGAGGCTCTAGATCCAGGACTGAGGCTCTAGATCCAGGACTGAGGCTGTAGATCCAGGACTGAGGCTGTAGATCCAGGACTGAGGCTGTAGATCCAGGACTGAGGCTGTAGATCCAGGACTGAGGCTGTAGGTGGTGGTTTGTCTGACAGATCCAGATCCAGAAAGAAGATCTTGATGAATGCAACAAACATGGGAAGTGCTGACAGAGGGTCTGCACACACACACACACACACACACACACACACCTGCCATGATTGTAGAGCTGGAACAGGACGAGCCCTCGGCAGGTACCAGCAGGCCCCAACGAACACACACACTTATACACATACACACACACACATGTAATTGTGTATTCTGTGTTTGAACTGTTTGATTCTCTGATCTGTGACAAATCAACAACTTACGCGATATTCAAATACATTTAACTGAAACCGGTGACTTTCGTTGCGCTGTGTTCTCTGCTCCCTGCTGATGTGACGGAGCTATTTACCCGCCTGATGAATGTACATATGAGATTATAGGCGATCGCAGTGACGACGAGGCCGCAGCCGCCCCGCTCGCCGAGGCAGAGCCGGCTATATGACTGTAAGATGCAGTCATAACATCTCATGTATGTGACAATTATCCTGTCGCTGAGGCCACTCTGTGCACTGACAGCTCCGTGCGTGTGACTCTTTACACTTTGCACTGATACTGACTTAAACATTACAACAAAGGAACATGCAGCTGTTTACACCGGCACACGCAATTCACATTCAGTTTCAGTTTTTGTATTTGCCATTTTCAGTAAAACAGAGGTTTTGATGCACCAGTGTGTTCAGTGTCTCGCCTCCTTCATTATTGTGTTGAGAGAATGGAACAATATCTGAACAATTGTGAAGTGCTTTGGGTGACATTGGTCTGTAAAATACACTTTATAAATAAACATACAACATTTACTCAATGTATTAGTGTATCGCCCCAAAATCAGTGTTCGGCAAGTTCCTTCAAAAAAGTACATGATGTGTTACTTATTACTGTAATTTCAAAGTAATGTGTTACTACGATATTACTGTCTCTGAATTGTAAAGCATTACTCTGCTACTGCATAACTTTGAAGTTACTTTCCCCAAATATTTATACTTAACTGTTGTGTTCCACATCTTTGAAGAGGAGGCGACAGTGGCTCAATTGGTACAGCATTGGCCTTTGGGCCTGAAGGTCGTGGGTTTGATCCCCCCATGAGTCCTACTCCAACTGATGTCTGCTGTCGTTGTGTCCTTGAGCAAGAGACTTAACCCCACATTGCCTGAAGCTCTGCTAAAAAACCAAGGCTGCGTCATCGCTGACAGAGCAGCCATCTTCCCTGGTGCTATGAGCATTGGGTCCTGAAATGAAATGAAATCTTTTAAGTGGATGTACTTCCTGCGGCAGCTCAGGAAAGCCAAGCTGCCTGCACAGATGTTGGTGCAGTTCTACACGGCCATCATCGAGTCCATCCTCACCTCCTCCGTCACCGTGTGGTTCGCTGGAGCCACAGTCAGGGACAAACAGAGGCTACAGCGCATTGTGCGCTCTGCAGAGGAAGTGATCGGCCGCAGCCTTCCATCGCTGCAGGACCTGTACGTCGCCCGAGCTCGAGGCCGGGCTGGTCGTATCACAGCCGACCCCTCTCACCCTGCACATGGACTATTCCAACCACTCCCCTCAGGCAGGAGGCTGCGGTCCATCAGGACTAGAACCTCCCGCCACAAGAATAGTTTCTTCCCCTCTGTTGTTGGACTCTTGAACACTTCATAAACCATCACTGACCTGTGTCCTAATGACCGTCACTTTATGCTACTATCACTTTATGCTACTGTCACTTTACTGCACACTGCTTTAACTTGTTTGCACCGAGAGCCAAAGAAATTTCCTTTGGGACTTACTCACATGGCAATAAAGAGGATTCTGATTCTGATACTTTGTCTCCAACAAACTCTAAATAATGGGAGTCTGTCCATCTGTAACATGTAGTGTAGCTTCTACAGCCACAGTCCTGGATCTACAACCTCAGTCCTGGATCTACAGCCTCTACAGCCACAGTCCTGGATCTACAGCCACAGTCCTGGATCTACAGCCTCAGTCCTGGATCTACAGCCTCAGTCCTGGATCTACAGCCTGTCCGTCCTTGGGAAAAGCCCCCTCACTCTACCAGAGGTTTCTCTTGTCTCTCACTGGGATTTAGACTTTTTCCCGCCAATGCAGAAGATTTTTAAGACATTAATGGTCGAGGATTTTCATAGACCTGGGTTAACGGTTTCTTCTATTGACCAATGACGAGATTGTTTATTGCTGTATTTTGTGCGTATTCAAAAAGTAAGATTTTAGTGAGTTCCTTGGAGTCAACTGATTTTGTGTTTTTTTTTTTTTTTTTTTTTTATCTCCCCATGGTTTATGAACGGTCAGAACACTATACCTCAGTTTCAGAACAGGAGAACACGGACTGAATCTTTGATCATTCGTGATGCATTTTGGGTCTGTCTTTTGTAAGGCATATACTATAGAAACAAAGTAAATATGATATTATTCAGCTGTTGTTACCGCCTTCTCGTCCCTTTAATGCCATTATGAAAACACCATGACTCACTGATCTCTTATCGGTTGGAGGGGAATCTGTGATCACGCGTCAGACCTCAGGCTTCCTCGACGCGCCTCGGCCTGTCCCGCGTGTGTTCCACCCCCCACAACACGCCACGCTCCGAAAACCCAGCCGTCCCGACCCAAACACGGCTTATCTGCACCAGCGTTTGTCTGCGTTTGAATCAGGCGGATGTTTTGCCGCGGCGCTCGCTGAGGTGAGGCGGCCACACGCAGCAGAGGAGGGCGCTGCGCAGAGGAAAGAAAAACAAGTCAAACATGGATAAATGTGTCGTAATTAAACAATAACTTACACATTTTGACTGCCTAAACCATGAGAGAGAGAGAGACCAGAGAGTGAGAAAGAAAGAGAGAGAGAGAGAGAGAGAGAGCAGAGAGGGAGAGAGAACAGAGAGTGAGAGAGAGAGAGAGACCAGAGAGTGAGAGAGAGAGAGAGAGAGACCAGAGAGAGAGACCAGATATTGAGAGAACAGAGATTGAGAGAGAGAGAGAGTGTGTGTGAGCGAGACCAGAGAGTGTGAGAGAGAGAGAGACCAGAGAGAGTGAGAAATAAAAAGAGAGAAAGAGAGAAACTAGAGAGTGAAAAAGAGAGAGAGATAGGGAGAGAGAGACCAGAGAGAGAAAGAGAGAGAGATAGGGAGAGAGAGACCAGAGAGAGAGACCAGAGAGAGAAAGAGAGAGAGGCTAGAGAGAGAGAGACCAGACAGAGAAAAGGAGAGAGAGCAGAGAGAGAGACCAGATAGTGAAAAAGAGAGAGAGATCAAAAGAAAAAGATATCAATGGGACAAAGAAAAATGATGTTTTTCAAAGATACAAGAAATATCTCCCTTAGAATGAGATAAAATAAAGCAACAATTCTTGAAATATGCCTAAATGTCTTTGTCCCATTGGTTCATCTTGTTTTAAGTCAGAATGCACTTAAATTAAGAATAATAATAAATAAATAAACAATCCAATCAGGCAATTATTACCTCATATTTCATCATTTTTTGCAGTGCAGAGACCTGTCGTGGGAGTTTGGGTCTCTTCCTTCAGAGCTGCAGGTTGAGGTTCAGATGCACACTTTGACACAGAAGTGACGGCGAAAAGCTTTGTGTCGACGCCAAGTTGCTCAACAGTAAAAGGTCAGAGGTCAGAGACAGCGTGAGGTGCCGCAGTGAGTCATCAGGGTTTTCTGATCACGCAGTATTTAAGGATTATACTCCTGCTGCTCCTAATTCTGTCACTGTACTGCACTGGTAAATGTCTGTTGTCTGTACCGAGTGTGCAATATAAGCCATAAATCACAACAGTTCTTATCTTCGCCATCACAGATCAGAGAATCAAACAGTTAAAACTCAAGAAATGGGTTGTCGTTAGATCATTGTCCTTAGATTGTCCTTAGATCCTCCTGCGTCAGCGAGTGAAAAAACCTGGTGGGAGAAAAGTGAGAAACTTTCGGGAGGCCCACATTGAGGGAGGGATCCGCTTCCACAGACGAACGGAGACTGTGGATCCAGGAAGTAGGCTGTAGATCCAAGACGGAGGCTGTAGATCCAAGACGGAGGCTGTAGATCCAAGACTGAAGCTGTAGATCCAGGACTGAAGCTGTAGATCCAGGACTGAAGCTGTAGATCCAGGACGGAGGCTGTAGATCCAAGACGGAAGCTGTAGATCCAGGACTGAAGCTGTAGATCCAGGACTGAAGCTGTAGATCCAGGACTGAAGCTGTAGATCCAGGACTGAGGCTGTAGATCCAGGACTGAGGCTGTAGATCCAGGACTGAAGCTGTAGATCCAGGACTGAAGCTGTAGATCCAGGACTGAGGCTATAGATCCAGGACTGAGGCTGTAGATCCAAGACGGAGGCTGTAGATCCAGGACTGAGACTTTAGATCAAAAGTTATAAAAACAGAAGTTATCTTGAAAGGACGAAGCTGTCGATTCGCCAACACAGATCAGAGAATCAACCACCAACATCAGGTTTAAATGATTGTAGGCAACTTCAAAAAGATCCGTGAGTCACCAGACTTCTGTTCGGTTGTTGTTGGCGAGAGCAGAAGTATGTGTGACGTTATGTTTGTGGTTGTGTAGCGGAGAGTGATTTACACCATCATTTAGACACTTATCAGCCAGCAGCTAATGCTTTCACTTCACCTGGGGCTGTCTGTCTGTCTCAGAATGAACTAAGAAATGTGTCAATTAGACGTGGAACAAAAAGCTAATGATCCACATGTTTGTGTTGCTGATTCTTCTTGTCCAAAGTGGTTCTACTACAGTCAAGGCTCAGTTTGTTTCAAAAATCTTTAACAAATTTAACAAATCAATCTAATGTATCTGTGTCTCGTCCTAAATCACATCAGCATTTGTCTCGGAGGACTTAAAAAAGTTGTGGATTGACCAACAACAGAGAAGAGAAACAAACCAGAAATGCAATAGATCTGGGACTGTGGTTGTAGATCTATCTCTGGTCTCTCCCTGGTCTCTCTCTGGCCTCTTTCTGGTCTCTCTCTCTGGTCCGTCCGTGGTCCCTCTCTGGTCTCTCTCTCTGGTCCCTCTCTGGTCTCTTTCTGGTCTCTCTCTCTGGTCCGTCCGTGGTCTCTCTCTGGTCTCTCTCTGGTCTCTCTCTCTGGTCTCTCTCTGGTCTCTCTCTCTTGTCTCTCTCTGGTCCGTCCCTGGTCTCTCTCTCTTGTCTCTCTCTGGTCTCTCTCTGGTCTCTCTCTCTGGTCTCTTTGTTTGTCTGGAGGCAAGGTAATAAGCCCAGTTCGTCCGTCGTCACTGCGTTCATGATGAATAGACTGTGGACAGACAGAGCACTCTCTGTCAGACAGACAGGTGAAAAGCCCCGCCCCAACACCTCACTCTGTCGTGTCCTTGGGCAAGACACTTCATTTTACCTGTAAGTGATTGTGTGAGTGACAGCTGAGGAATCGCACACACACACACCTGCATTCCTGTGGGTCCCAGAGAACCCTGTGAGTCATTTTTAGAATCTTTAGGCTGAGAGCTGGTTGTCTGAGTGAGGGTGGTTTGGTGAGATGTGAGAGAAATACATAATGATAAAACCAAATTGTTCTAAGAGCGAGGAGGCGTGAAGGTTCTAAAAATATTGTTAAAGTTATGTTTGACACCGTTCTGAAAGTTTTTGTTTTTCATAATATTCAATAAGTAAATCTGGAGAGAATCAAACCGACAAAAGGAGGTGCAGCGTTTACAACAGTGAAGCCACAGGAGATGCTTGCGGTAAATAAATCCTTAGGTGCTTTTACTGGGCCAAAAATGCTACATACAACTTGACAAAATGTGTTTTGAGTCGGTAATTTTCAAATTTGGAAAAAACTACTCACATTCTTCTCCATTAACAGGAAGCTCTGACTGCAGACGCTGCTCTCTCTGGTGGCAGCAGAGGGCGTAACAGGGAGCTCTGACTGCAGACGCTGCTCCCTCTGGTGGCAGCAGAGGGAGTAACAGGGAGCTCTGACTGCAGACGCTGCTCTCTTTGGTGGCAGCAGCGGGAGTAACAGGGAGCTCTGACTGCAGACACTGCTCCCTTTGGTGGCAGCAGAGGGAGTCCCAGCGGAGCCTCTGTGTGGTCATGCATGTGGCCAGTGTCCAGACGACTGTAAAATGATGCTGTTTAGTCGACGTGGGGCAGTTTTAGTTCTGTCCCAGAGCACAAAGTAACAGAGCATGACAGCCCCCCCTCCCCCCGCCTCATCCACCCTGACCCGGCTCCGCAGTGTGGGAGCCGGACCCTCCTGGACTTCAACAGAAGTCATCGTTTTTATACTGCATTTCCCAAAGCACTGAGCAGTATTTTAAAGTATAGATATTTAAGGTCCCGAGAAGCATTTATCGACAGCAGGATTTAAAGCTGGGGAACCTAACTTTCAAACCTCTGAAGACATCCAAGAGTGTCTCCTCCTCTTTCTTTCAAGTCGGTAAAGATTAAAGTTCTAGTGATTAGTTCAACACTTTGCATCCTTTTCCCAAGTCTGACATATAGACTGTAGATGGACAATGCTAATTTGCAAGCTCAATGAAGCCCAATAGGGAAGTGCTCATGGTGAAGTTTGTCTCCATCTCTCTCTGGCTCCTATTGTCTTTTACATGTAGTAAAAGTAATCTGCTTTAGCTCAGTAACGTTTGTGTCACACTCACCATTTTGGGATTAAATCTGTGGTTTAGAGGTCTCCGTGATCCTGGTCTTTATATTGTGATAATGTCTAAATCCAGTCATGTAAGGAGTGGCCAATCAGACTCCAACTTGCCTTAGTAACCGTCTTGGCAACACGTCTGCCTCTGTTACAGCGTGAAGCTAACGCCGTCAGAACAAATGCCCATATAAGGAGACTGGCTCCGGCTTATGTTCAAATTGACTTAAATCCAATGTATTTGTGTATCGCCCATAGACTGTATTTATTAACGGACGTAGTCACGCCTATCTCCACCGTTCAAACTGATGGGCCAAAAATAGTGCTCTACTGGAGCTATCCAAAATGGCCGCGAGTGGTCCCACCCACAAGAAAATTCTGAAAATACGCATCTGTGCATGCGTCAGCTGGCGAGAGCTCCATTCATTTAAACGAGTGACTTCAAAAATTCGCAGAAAAGGAAACTAGAGTGGACCAAAAAAATTCCCTCCCCTCTGCATTGACACACATGTGGAACGGAGCTTTGGGCCAAGAGCCAACTTTTGGACCATCCTGTAAAGACATTTTCGAGAGGTCTGCCAATGTCTCTCTGTCTGTATGTACCTGTGTCTCTGTCTGTATGTACCTGTGTCTCTGTCTGTATGTACCTGTGTCTGTCTGTATGTACCTGTGTCTCTGTCTATTATGTACTGTACCTGTGTCTCTGTCTATTATGTACTGTATACCTGTGTCTCTGTGTCTGTATGTACCCGTGTCTCTGTCTATAATGTACCTGTGTCTCTGTCTGTATGTACCCGTGTCTCTGTCTATAATGTACCTGTGTCTCTGTCTGTATGCACCTGTGTCTGTCTGTATGTACCTGTGTCTCTGTCTATTATGTACTGTACCTGTGTCTCTGTCTATAATGTACCTGAGTCTCTCTGTCTGTATGTACCTGTGTCTCTGTCTGTATGTACCTGTGTCTCTGTCTGTATGTACCTGTGTCTGTCTGTATGTACCTGTGTCTCTGTCTATTATGTACTGTACCTGTGTCTCTGTCTATTATGTACTGTATACCTGTGTCTCTGTGTCTGTATGTACCCGTGTCTCTGTCTATAATGTACCTGTGTCTCTGTCTGTATGTACCTGTGTCTGTCTGTATGTACCTGTGTCTCTGTCTATTATGTACTGTACCCGTGTCTCTGTCTATAATGTACCTGTGTCTCTCTCTGTATGTACCCGTGTCTCTGTCTATAATGTACCTGTGTCTCTGTCTGTATGTACCTGTGTCTGTCTGTATGTACCTGTGTCTGTCTGTATGTACCTGTGTCTCTGTCTATTATGTACTGTACCTGTGTCTCTGTCTATGAACCTGTGTCTCTGTGTCTGTATGTACGTGTGTCTCTGTATATGTACCTGTGTCTCTGTCTATTATGTACTGTACCTGTGTCTCTGTCTATGTACCTGTGTCTCCGTGTCTGTATGTACCTGTGTCTCCGTGTCTGTATGTACCCGTGTCTCTGTCTATAATGTACCTGTGTCTTTGTCTATATGTACCTGTGCTCACCATCATGTGCATGCTGGTCCATTGTCTTTGTCTGTTCATCCTCATCTGTCATTTTCCTGGTTCCTGTGTTTTCATTTTGGATTTTTGAATTTGTTTTTTCTATGGACTTTAATTTCATCATCTTCATTAAATCCTGATGTTTTATGTAGAAACAGTTCTAACAAAAGGAAATGCAATCATAACAAACACAGAGGAGCCATTGGTCCATAGGGAGTGGGATGACCACTGTCCAGAAATGTTGATAAAGTCCATAAATGTAGTTGAATTTTGAGTGTCCTGGATCATCATCACTGTCCTTAGACCCTGCTAATTCAGAAGGGACAAACATAAAAACAACCAAAAAAAACTAACTAAAGATCGAGGACTGAGAATGTAGATCCAGGACTGAGGCTCTAGATCCAGGACTGAGGCTGTAGACCCAGGACTGAGGCTGTAGATCCAAGACTGAGGCTGTAGACCCAGGACTGAGGCTGTAGATCCAGGACTGAGGCTCTAGACCCAGCACTGAGGCTGTAGATCCAGGACTGAGGCTCTAGATCCAGGACTGAGGCTGTAGATCCAGGACTCAGGCTGTAGATCCAGGACTGCAGCTGTAGATCCAGGACTGAGGCTGTAGACCCAGGACTGAGGCTGTAGATCCAAGACTGAGGCTGTAAACCCAAGACTGAGGCTGTAGATCCAGGACTGAGACTGTAGATCCAGGACTGAGGCTGTAGACCCAGGACTGAGGCTGTAGACCCAGGACTGAGGCTGTAGATCCAGGACTGAGGCTGTAGATCCAGGACTGAGGCTGTAGACCCAGGACTGAGGCTGTAGACCCAGGACTGAGGCTGTAGATCCAGGACTGAGGCTGTAGATCCAGGACTGAGGCTGTAGACCCAGGACTGAGGCTGTAGACCCAGGACTGAGGCTGTAGATCCAGGACTGAGGCTGTAGATCCAGGACTCAGGCTGTAGAACGAGGACCGAGGCCGTGTGTACAGAGTGTGTGATTATTCTACAGTAATGATTTCATCTCTTGGATTCGGGGGCCCTTCAGCAGTCCCCCTGCGTGTCCCCTGTCCACACGTGTCCACAGACAGAGGTCAGAGGTCAGGTGGATCCTGGAGCATATGTTCGGTGCCAGCTCAGCGTGAGGCGCCTGAGCTCTTCTCTCATCGTTAGTGTCAGTGTGTGTCCGGCCTGAGAGCGCTGTGACAGACACCCATCCAAGCAGCAGACCCACCACTGCCAGGGGCCACGGGGGCCGACCGGGCTCTGGAGAGGGGGCCCAACCTACTGTATCAGGAGGAACAGTACGTGCTGCTCCTACCACCTGCGGACGTAGGAGAGTTTATTTGTAAAGCACAGTTCATAGACAACTCAAAGTGCTGAAAAGATAAAGATAGAATCAGTCACACAAAGCTTAAAAATCAGTATTAAAACAGTGAAGATACAATCCTTCAGTTGTTGCAGAAACAGAACTGTTTTTAACCTGGATTTGAACATTGTCAGAGATTGTTTCAGATTTTAGCTGCATGAATCTGAGACGCTGCCTCCTCATGTTTAGTTCTGACTCTGTGACTGGGACCAGCTGAAGGCCAGTCCTTGTGCTCCTCAGAGTCCAAGCAGGAGGCCTGTCCCTGTGCTCCTCAGTCAGAGTTGGTTCATATGTTAGTCCAGGTCACTCCGCTGGACGTGGCGTGGTGATGCAGATGCCCAGGGACAGGTCACCGTGGAGGGTGACAGCTGTGGGGGGTGCGTCTTGCTGTACGATCCAGGCTGCTGCTGTGATTGGACGTGACACACAGTGGAAAATTCCTGGAAGAGCCTTTGTTTCCAGGGGGGGGGGACATAACGGCGCGCTCCCTGTGAACATGGAGTGATGTCCTTGCGGACGGTGGCCCAGTTGTGGAAAAAGGTTTAAATTGGTTTTGACAAGATGCCGATGCGCAGACACAGAGCACCATGGGAAATACTGGAGAGTGACTGTACTGTCCATCAAAGTAGATAAGAAGTCCTTTAATCGTCTCACAGTGGGAAGAAAGTAACTAAGTCATCTTTTTTATACATGTATTTAGTGGTAAGGAAAAACGGAACAGGGCTAGGGTCTGGGACTGTGAAGACCAGGGTCTGGGACTGTGAGGACCAGGGTCTGGGACTGTGAAGACCAGGGTCTGGGACTGTGAGGACCAGGGTCTGGGACTGTGAAGACCAGGGTCTGGGACTGTGAGGACCAGGGTCTGGGACTGTGAAGACCAGGGTCTGGGACTCTGAGGACCAGGGTCTAGGACTGTGAGGACCAGGGTCTGGGACTGTGAGGACCAGGGTCTGGGACTGTGAGGACCAGGGTCTGGGACTGTGAGGACCAGGGTCTGGGACTGTGAGGACCAGGGTCTAGGACTGTGAGGACCAGGGTCTAGGACTGTGAAGACCAGGGTCTAGGACTGTGAAGACCAGGGTCTAGGACTGTGAAGACCAGGGTCTAGGACTGTGAAGACCAGGGTGTTGTCTGAAGTCGTATCCGAGCTCTGTGCCCCAAGGTTCGGCTGCGTTAGTTGCAGCCCCCCGCTGTTTGAGCTGCGGAGCTTAAGTCCAAACTCTTTATTGTTTACAGCTCAAAAAATCACTGAAATGACAATAATGTAATGTACATGTACAATTAATTACATGTCATGTAATCTATTGTATTATTGATCCGAACAGTCATCTTGGACGTGGTTCTGTTGATCCCAGAGTGACTTCACTGTTGTCACTGTAACAGACGCTTAATCCTCCTCAACTAAGCAGTGTGCGCACTGCACAAGGCGCACGCTGCATAGTTTTCATCTAAAACGTGGCAAAGGCTCTGGTGTGTGCTGTCTCGTGTACACTGTGGTTTTTCTGTAAATGACAAATGAATTATTGAATCTTGAATTGAAATAAGAGTGGTACCAAGCCGTGAAAAGCTCCAATGTGTGTGTGTTTTCCCGCATCGCCCATTCTATCTAAAAGTCACTTCCTGTCCAACGAGCCCTTGTCACCGCCCCTTTTGGTCACATGGTTGCAACCCAGAAATAAATCACGTTTTTTCAACATGAATTAGATATATTGAAACTGTGTGTCTGTTTCTGTCTGTATATGTGTGTGTGTGTGTGTGTGTGTGTGTGTGTGTGTGTGTGTGTGTGTGTGTGTGTGTTTGCGTGTATGTGTGTGTGTGTGTATGTGTGTGAGTGTGTCTGTGTGTGTGTTTGTGTGTATGTGTGTGTGTATGTGTGTGAGTGTGTCTGTGTGCCTCTCACGGCTTTCTGTCTTTCAAATCACACTCTTTGTAGATACAACAAAAGCGTCACATGTAGCTAATAAAGTTATGTGTTTTAGATTTTCATATCAACAAAATATGAAACATTTGTTGGAACTGAAGCAGGTTTTTGAGTCCAACAGAATGTTTGAACAAGAATCGGACCTCAAAATAAACCGTCAAAATGTTTTATTTATGTAATTAAAATGGACATTAGAGCAGATGCCGTCAGTGTTACAGACCATGAGGCTTTTGCGACATCACAGCAATATGGTTCGACTTTGCTCCAAATCTGCAGAGCGACACGACAAGTGCTGCTTAAGAAAGTCCTCCTCAAACTCCACTGATTAGTGCAAAGATGACATCATGCCCCCCCCCCCCCCCCCCCCCACCGCCCTCACCCCCCACCAACACCCCCCTCAAGAATAATCCTGAACTTTAGTCTTTTGTCTTGAGCACACTCCATCCAGCTCCTCTCACCCCCATCTGCAGCTGTGTGTGTGTCTGCAGCTGTGTGTGTCTGTGTGCGTGTGTGTGGACCCCCACGATGTGCAGCTTCTGTTCCCACACCACAGGTAACTGCCTCCTCCTCCCCCTCATACCCCCCCCCCCTCCCCCCTTCTTACAAATTGTCCATTTCTTAACAGTAGCTGTGTTTCAAGCGTTGCCCCAAAAGCTTGTACTTTTCAATCACTCTAAAATGAATCTTAAGGTTAAGGTCTGCTTCATTGTTCTCAAAGTGGAATCAACTCTCTGAACCACAGAAGCCAGGACAGAGACCTGAGATCAGGACTAATGTGAGAGGATTTCAGGACAGCTCTGGTAGAAAACCAAACTGGATCAAAACCAGTCCAGGACTATTCTGGTTCTACCACACCTTCGTAAGGTCTGGAGGCGCTCCATTGAGCTCTGTTTACAGGTGGGAAGGGTTAACTCCTTTTGAAGATTGAAACAATTGGATCTGAGTTTACTGTCATGTATGTAATGCGCCCGAGTGAGTCGTTAGCATTTAGCATTTAGCCTCGCCATCTCCTTTGCCACAATCGGAACCCGTGGGGAGTATAGCGCCACAATCTTTGCCAGCAATTGCATTTGCTAAACATTCCTCTTGCTCCGGCTTCAATTTCTTGATAGAACCAGACCGGATTACTTTACTATCGCATTCTTCGTCTGTGCCAAACAACAACCTGCCCGTTCGACGCAAACTGTTGATGTCAACAGCAACAAATAACTACACCCGCCTCCCGCGCTCTCTGATTGGTCGGATGGAATTTAACCGATGGTAATCGCTAACACAGCGACCAGACCCAGACGTTGCATGAATGGAAATGAGGAGTTCCCGAAGTGTACGGATGGCTAAGGCCAGGCTAGTGCAGGACCAGTCCACAGAAATGAAATTTCTTTTCCAAACCTTCCCACAAACTCTCAGACTGATGTGGAGGCTCTGCTCACGTTTTCTTACGCAATCCACCTCTTGAGTTTTCACCCCTCACTGCCAGGCTGCCCCCGAGACCCCCTCTAGACCCCCCCAGACCCTCCTGACCTCCGGCTGCAAACAGGTGGAGGGGTCCGGCTCTCATTAGTCTAGTGGCCTGGAACAAAAAGGGGAGAATATACACACTACACACGCACAAGAAATCCTGCATGAGACCGAACCTCCTTCTCTCTGCTCTCTCTGCTCTCTCTGCTCTGTGTGCTCTGTGTGCTCTGTGTGCTCTGTGTGCTCTGTGTGCTCTCTGTGCTCTCTCTGCTCTCTGTGCTCTCTCTGCTCTGTGTGCTCTGTGTGCTCTGTGTGCTCTCTGTGCTCTGTGTGCTCTGTGTGCTCTCTGTGCTCTGTGTGCTCTGTGTGCTCTCTCTGCTCTGTGTGCTCTGTGTGCTCTCTCTGCTCTCTGTGCTCTGTGTGCTCTCTCTGCTCTGTGTGCTCTGTGTGCTCTGTGTGCTCTCTCTGCTCTCTGTGCTCTCTCTGCTCTCTGTGCTCTGTGTGCTCTGTGTGCTCTGTGTGCTCTCTCTGCTCTCTGTGCTCTCTCTGCTCTCTGTGCTCTGTGTGCTCTCTGTGCTCTGTGTGCTCTGTGTGCTCTGTGTGCTCTCTCTGCTCTGTGATACTCTCTGTGACACTCGCGGCTAGTTTAATTACTCTCAGTGTTGTTAGAGAGAGAATGCTCAGAGAATGTGGTGTTTTTACACATGTACAAATCAAAGCTCAGTCCTGCCCCTGGAGAACACCTTCATAGGATGTTCCACTTGTTTGATATTAGAAATATTTAGTATTTATGTACGTTATTACCTTGTTCTTATCTGCTCTAAAGAAACACAGTCATTAAGGCTGTTGATACATTTATTAATGTATCAATAAAAAAATAATTATTGTTCAATTAATCAAGTGTTTCTTCAGTGAAACTAACTCCAAACGAGGAAAGAGGAGTCTGGACCATCTCATCACCTTATAAGGAGTGAAGCCCAGAGAGAGACAGAGAGGAAGAGGAGTGGAGAGAGACCTTTCTGTCTCCATCTCTGGTCTCTCTCTGGTCTCTGTAAAGTCTTTCTGGTCTCCCTCTGTTCTCTCTCACTGGTCATTCTCTGGTTCATCTCTGGTCTCTCTCTCTGGTCTCTCTCTGTTCTTTCTCACTGGTCTATCTCTCTGGTTTCTCACTGGTCTCTCTAGTCTCTCTCTAGTCTCTCTTTGGTCTCTCTGTGGTCTCTAACTAGACTATCTCTGATCTCTCTGGCTTCTCTATCTCTCTCTGGTCTCTCTCTCTCTCTGGTCTCTTTCTGGTCTCTCTCTGGTCTCTCTCTGGTCTCCCTCTGGTCTCTCTCTGGTCTCTCTCTGGTCTCTCTCTGGTCTCTCTCTGGTCTCTCTCTGGTCTCTCTCTGGTCTCTCTCTGGTCTGTCTCTGGTCTCTCTCTGGTCTCTCTCTGGTCTCTCTCTCTGGTGGTCTCCCTCTGGTCTCTCTCTGGTCTCTCTTTGGTCTCCCTCTGGTCTCTCTCTGGTCTCTCTTTGGTCTCCCTCTGGTCTCTCTCTGGTCTCTCTTTGGTCTCCCTCTGGTCTCTCTCTGGTCTCTCTTTGGTCTCCCTCTGGTCTCTCTCTCTGGTCTGCACAGCCACAGAACAGACAAATGTCATTTCTTCTTTAACATCTCTCACTAAAAAGAGACCATATCCTCTCCTGTTACAGTATGTCCAGAGATGGGGGGGGGAGAGGGGGAGGGAGGGGGAGGGATAGAGGGGGGTGGGTCTCATACATAACAGGTTTCTCCCAAATCCTCGGGGGCCGTTGCCATCGCTCTCGTTCCAATTCCACCTGCTCCACGTCTGCTCCACACTCTCACAGTGAAGTCTGCTTTAGCTTTGAACAGTCAGATCTAGAACATGAAACACAGAAACACAAACACACACCCAAACTTCACTCATTTTTATGTTTTATTATTGTACGGCTCTTCGCAGTAGAAGTAGATCTGATTTGAATGTAATTTCATAATGTTCTATCGGTAATTATTTCTTGTTAATGGACCTCTGAAAGTCCAGCCACTTTGTCAACAAGCTTCTGGAAATGGATAACGCTAGTATAATGACGGTAGCGTTATCCATTTCCAATAAGGAGTGTGTCGGGTTGATCACATCCATGGGCTTAACGTTAACAAGCGCCAACGTGGGCCACGCCCCCCGCATCATCACGGCAGAGGCACGACCATCAGCATGTTTGACAGGCTCAGAATCAGCGCAAATCTCAACTCAGAATAGTTCAGAGAGTGTGAACGGCAATTGCTGTTGTGGGTTCTGTTTCTCACGGGGGTCTGTCAGTCCTACGACAGTCAAGAGCAAATCAAATCAACCTCACTCATTTCTTCTTCCCTGAACCATCACCCGAGGCAGAGAGTGGAATGAGTTCTGACTTTCTTATAAGTTCATTTGAATGAGTTTTGGTCTGTTTATGATACAAACTGTATAGAACTATAAAACCCCCGTATGGCAGAGGTAGTTGTTGTTTGGTTGTCAGCAGGCAGTCACTTATTCACAATGTGAAGTAATTCACAAGAAATAAGTTATTAATTAAAGTTATCAAGGAATGATTAATTCTTGTTAAGCTATGGTCAAACTAAAATATGTATTATTCAATATATATATCAATACTATGATACTGTGATATATATACTGCATATATATCTCACTACTTTTTCCACCTCTGAAGACAGTAGTCCCAAACTACTGTAGGTGTGTGTGTGTGTGTGTGTGTGTGTGTGTGTGTGTGTGTGTGTGTGTGTGTGTGTGTGTGTGTGTGTGTGTGTGTGTGTGTGTGTGTGTGTGTGTGTGTGTGTGTTGCAGACACAAAGACAATACAGAGTTGGTTTCATAGCCCGAGGCGTCTCTAACTCTGGGGCGAGAGGGAAACGAGACCTGGGAAGCGAGTGTGGATACGAACCAATGCAGTGTGTGGAGGGGGGCTAAGTAAGGGGGGGGCTGGATGCTGGGTGAGGGGGGTAGGGGGGTTTTGGGTGGGGTGGGTGTCATCTTCCATAACTCCCTCGTTGCGGTGAGTTATGGCTGCGGAGCAGAGCGATCACTTACACGCGGCTCTTGGCTCCAGGCGTCAAGTGAAACAGAGAGAGAGAATGTGGCACAAATACAGAATATAATATACAGGAACACAACTGTTTTAACCTGGATTTGAACAATGTCAGAGAAAAAGCCTGTCTCACAATTTCAGGAAGACTGTTCCAGATTTTAGCTGCGTAAGTCTGAAACACTGCCTCCCCATTTAGTTCTGACTTTAGGACCAGTAGGAGGCCAGTCCCTGTGCGCTGACTCAGGTCAGAGACAGTGTCCAGAAACAGATGGTCTTATGGCCGTGTTTTCTGCCAGTCATTTTAAAATGTATAAAATGGACAACTGTATTTAATTTCTTTCATGCATGGTTATAAATCAGTGGGCAATAATTTCCTGAAAACATGATCAAAAATATTTAATCAAAATGACACCATCAACTAAATATTATTATTATTATTATTAAATGAATATGGGTTCAATCTTAAAACAGTTGAACCAGTGTGTTTCTGAACTGAGACAGGTCTGAGGGACTGTCCACCTCCAGGGGAAACCTAAAAGCTTCAAAGCCCTTTCTGCTCTGTGCTCTCTGCTCTGTGGATGAAAGGCCAGAGGAGAGAGCGCCAGTCGTTCCAGCCGCGCCACTCGATTAAATCAACCGCTCTGAGCGAGAAGGGTCTGACCTCCTCCTCTGCTCCACCACCAGCCTGGATCTACAGACTCAGTCCTGGATCTACAGACTCAGTCCTGGATCTACAGACTCAGTCCTGGATCTACAGACTCAGTCCTGGATCTACAGCCTCAGTCCTGGATCTACAGCCTCAGTCCTGGATCTACAGCCTCAGTCCTGGATCTGCAACCTCAGTCCTGGATCTACAGCCTCAGTCCTGGATCTACAGCCTCAGTCCTGGATCTACAGCCTCAGTCCTGGATCTACAGCCTCAGTCCTGGATCTACAGCCTCAGTCCTGGATCTACAGCCTCAGTCCTGGATCTACAGTCTCAGTCCTGGATGTACAGCCTCAGTCCTGGATCTACAGCCTCAGTCCTGGATCTACAGCCTCAGTCCTGGATCTACAGTCTCAGTCCTGGATGTACAGCCTCAGTCCTGGATCTATAGCCTCAGTCCTGGATCTACAGCCTCAGTCCTGGATCTACAGTCTCAGTCCTGGATCTACAGCCTCAGTCCTGGATCTACAGTCTCAGTCCTGGATCTACAGTCTCAGTCCTGGATCTACAGCCTCAGTCCTGGATCTACAGTCTCAGTCCTGGATCTACAGCCTCAGTCATCCCGCTCCCTATGGGCAAATGGCTCCTATGTGTTTGTTATTATTGCATTCGCTGTCTTCCAACTGTTTTGTGATATTCTGATCTTTTGTTGGTGAATCCGCAACATTGTAAATGAGATGTCTGAGACAGCTGCTGTTGTGATTTAGGGCGATACACAAATAAATATATACTTTATTGATCCCTGTAGGAGAAATGCAGGTGTCGCTGTCTACCGAGTCTGTCTGGTTCGGACCCTTTTCTCTGCTCGGGTTCATACTAAAATTCCGAATGCATTTAGCAATTAGCATTTTAATAATTCCTCGAGGGGGTTTCCACTTGATCTGCTTTGTTGAGGACCATCCACTCTGCTCTGGATCAGTGTAAAACCATGAACACTGGTCTGCGGTAACATTTACAGTGAGATAGAAATAACGATTGTAAAACAGAAATCAACAGTTTGAGAGACACTGAGGACTCGCTGCTGTTTCCAGAACCTTCAAGAGTAAACACGTGATACAAATACTTTGTTGCAAAATAGTTCTATATTTTGCAGGATCAATATTTGTTTTACATGAGGATAAATTGTGTCCGGAGATAAAGGAGAAAATAAATGACTAAAAACGTCTGTTAACTGCTTTGTTTGACGATGACGACAGCTTCACCTTCAGCTCGTTCGTCTTCTTCATCATCGTCTTCAACTCAAAAACAAAATCACTTTAGTCACTTTCGCTGATGGAACCTGCAGAGAAAGCCTCCGTCTACAATACCCCGACATTCCGCAGCACAAAAAATGGCGCATTTGATTTTTTTTCCAGCGCCTGGGATGAGAAGTGTCAGCGCAGGGGAAGCTCTGGCGTCTCAGAATTCAATCACGGCGAGCGGTGGCCGCGGGCAGAGTGCTGTGCCAGCTGGAACATCGCCTTGTCCGTGTTATTGGACACACATTTACCACCGCGCGCCAAAAGATCAGATGTTTGAGGCCTTTGTGGCGCTGGCGAGACCGTCATGGCGGCCTGCGCGCTCGCGTGGCCTCGGGCGGCGGCTTTTCTGTTCAGGCGTGACGAAAATGACAAGAGCACCTCAAAGGGTTAATGTGATGTGGTGACAACGGGGAAAAGAGAGCAGAGAGCAGGGTTTTCAACCTGAATCAGAAACGCAGCATTTTTATCTCTGTTCTAGATAACTGTCTGTTTGATTTTATTACTTTTTTATTGTATTTAGGTTTTATTTTTCAAATAAAACTAGCTCATTGGTTTTATACAGCGCTTTTTCTGACACTCAAAGATACTTCACATGTCATTATTCTTTCACTCCAAACACAGTGGTGATAAACTACAACAGTAGCCAGAGCTGCCCTGCGGCACACTGACAGAAGTGAGGCAACTAGTCTGTGCCATCACCACCACCAACCATTCACACATACATCAGATTCATTCTAATGTGGGTGAAGTGTCTTGCCAAAGGACACAACCACATTTTGGCACTTTACAGCCGCCCCAATGTGGCACCTGGTGTTCCCAGAGATCTCCCATCACAGTAATAACCAGTCCCTGCCCTGCTTAGCTTTAGAAGTCTGACAGGTTCTGGCTTTCACCCGCAGGTATCGCCACAATATGATACAATAATAACCGGTATTTTCTTGTTGTTATTACATTTGTATTGTCATCAATAAAGTCTCTATCTCTGTTTTATTTATTCTATTTTAATAAAGCTGGAAAACCTGATGATTGAAACGTTACTGTTACTCTGTGCCTGACTCTTTGTAGTTCACTGAGCTCCACACAAGGGTCTGGGAAGGTGGGGCCTTGTATAAAAATCATTGTATGTGATTGGATGAACCACTTGTCTGTTATCTTGAACAACTCCTCGCTGTAGTGTGGATTGAACATTTGACTAATAAAAACCAAACTTTACACAAAACTATCACTCAGCCCACATATCACAACATGGAACCACCAACATCTTGCCTCACATTGCATTAAAAGTTACATCCGTGTCTTATTTTGTTTGCATTTAAACTTTTTAAACTCACAGACTTTATCTCCACCTTGGTTTGCTTCAGCTGCAGTGAGACGCTCATGCGCAGGTTTGTGTTTCATCATAAACAGCAGAGGCAGCGGATTTCGAGAAGATGATGCAAACCAATGTTACACCAACGATCCTGATTGGTTCATGAATTTTTTGCTGTCTTGAAGGACTTTGCATTTCCCTCGATTCCAGATCCTTGTGGTGGAGCTCAGCAAAACGCCTCTAGTGGAGCATGGCAGAACTATAAAGGGTCTGGCAAGAGTCAGGCTACGTCTGTGCAGCACTTTGGAAACTTGTCTAAACTTGAATGTGCTATATAAACAAAGTGGATTTGGTTGGAACATTTGGTAGAGCATTGGCCTTTGAGCCAACCACAAGACCTACTTCACGACTCCCACTGGTGAATGCTGTCATTTTGTCCTTGGGCAAGACACTTAAACCCACTTTGCCTGAAGCCCCCACTGAATAATCAAGGCTCCTGTGGACTCACCACCTGCAGGAGGAACAGTGAGGGGCTGGTGGTATGTGTACTGGGTGCAGCTCTGACTGACACCCCCCTGACCCAGAAATGGACTAAAGGGGAAGAAAATGGATGGATGGATGTCAGAAATCACAGTGTGGCGGCTGGGGCTGTAAAACTATGTGTCCTGGACCCACACATTAGAACGAGTCTGGTCTGTGTCTGAATGGTTGGTAGTGGTGGGAGGGGCTAATTGCACAAACTGGTTGCCTCGCTTCTGTCAGTGTGCCTCAGGGCAACTGTGGCAGCCTATCTACCGCTGTTTTGGAGTGGATTGATAATGACATGTGAAGCGTCTTTGAATGTCTATAAAAGTGTTTGTATAAAACAAATGCATCATTATAATGAATAAACATTTTGTTGCTAATGAGAAATAATCTCAGCACCGTCGGTGTCAGAGCATTTAGCTCCAATCTCCTTTACTGTAGAATCAGCTTCCAATCCACAGACACAGGAAACAGACATGGTCTCTACATTCAAGGCCAGGCTTGGGACAGTCCTCTTTAATTTAGCAAGGTAAGGGAAGACTAAAAATCTTAGATTGCCAGTCAGTTTTCTGGAAGAAGTATGGTAACTTGAGCAATATCCTCTCCTCCTTCCTACTTTATCTGTTTAGCATTATTAGGATTTTGACTGTAGTCTCTTCATTGTTATTCACCCATGGTCCCATTGCCTGTTTCATGGTGCGATGACGGGACCGCACCTGTCCTCGTTCTACAACCGCTGCGTGGCCTTGGTCCACGTTCTGTAGCTTAGGTCCTGGATATAGCCCGTCAGTCCGTGTGGAGCGGATCTCTCTCTCCTTTCTTTCTCACTTTTCTCCCACTGGGTGTTAGAGTTTTTCCTTGCCGATGCAGAAGGTTCTGTTGGACAGTTAGTGTCTAACAAGATGGACTGTGGTGATGATCCAGGACACTAACATTCTACAACATTTATGGACATTGGTCAACTCCCTATGGACCAATGTGGGTTTTATAAAGTCCTCTGAGACAACTACTGTTGTAATTTAGGGCTAAACAAGAATACATTGAATTGAGCTCTTCAAGTCACTATTTGACTCTTTGGGCTGGGAGCTGATTGGCTGAGTGAGGATCTAAAGATGTGAGAGAGATAGCATGATTTGAAAACTACATAGAACCATATTTATATAAAGAATCTATTTAGAGAGCGAGGAACTCAGACAGATTTGATGATTTTGCGTCTTGAAGTATGAAATTTAAGTTCCCCAGCTTTAAGTTAAGCTGATAAGAAATGGGATAAATCGTTGTGTGTGACCAGTAAATATTTTTTGAAGTACCATTTTGAATATTGTACATTTCTGAAGCGATTCTAATTAGTTTGTGGCAGGTCAAACTCTGAGGAGGGGGCTGTAAGTGTGTTGCCTCAGGGCACAGCGGCACTGGGCTGAGAGCAGGGGAGGGGGCTGTAAGTGAAGTGTGTTGCCTCAGGGCACAGCGGCACTGGGCTGAGAGCAGGGGAGGGGGCTGTAAGTGAAGTGTGTTGCCTCAGGGCACAGCGACTGAGGACAAACGAGCGCTAACGACTCGTGTCAATACTGATCACAGCATCCAGCGTCACAGCGACGTCTGCGAGAACTCAGAACTCACAGAACTCACAGAACTCACAGAACTCACAGAACTCACAGAACTCAAAGCAAAGATTATTTTCTCTCATACAATACTGTTATTGTCGTGTTATGTACTGTTTTATATAAGTAAACGCAGAGAACGGGACTTTGGTTTGAATGATCAGAATACACAAATGTAAAATTTGTTATAGTAGGTATTCAATGCAGGTATCAAAGGTTGGGACAGAGTAATAATAATAACAATAAAAATGCATCGGTTTAATATAGCAATTTTTTGGACACTCAAACTATTCTTTCACTTCATACGCTGTGGTGATAAACTACTACAGTAACCACAGCTGCCCTGGGGCACACTGACAGAAGCAAGGCAACCAGTCTGTGCCATCTGCCCCTCCCACCACCACCAACCATTCACACACACATCAGACTCATTCTAATTTGGGGGACATGTCTTGCCTAAGGACACAACCACAGTTTGGCACTTTACAGCCGCAGCCGCCCCACTGTGGCACCTTGTTTAGAGCTCTAATTTCTTTGGTTGTTATGTCACCGAACCACACAGTCACAGAACTAACAACCAAACGGTCAATGCTGCGATAAAAGTGAAGCAGAATCTTAGAGTTTGTGGTGAAATCTGAAAAGTTTCCGCAGAATGAAGAGAGGCTGACGAGCTTTCTTGATGAGTGTTTTTGTCCCATTTCAGGTCATTAGACAGAATTAAACCCAAAAACTTGCCTCCTCTAAAATCTGCACTTGAAAGTTATCAATAACAGACTGAGAAATGTTAAGACTGAAATCAAAAACAAGTTCACATGTTTTAGAAGTGTTCAGCTGGTTCCAAATGGTTTCTTTTGATGACTTTTCTTTGGTCGCAGATGTACTTCTGTCTCTTTCTCTGGTCTCTCCTGATCTCTCTCTGGTCCCTCTCTCTGGTCTCTCTCCTGATCTCTCTCTGGTCTCTCTCTGGTCCCTCTCTCTAGTCTCTCTCTGGTCCCTCTCTGGCCCTCTTTCTAGTTTCTGGTGTCTCTCTAGTCCCTCTCTGGTTCCTCTCTCTGTTCTCTCTCTGGTCCCTCTCTGGTCCCTCTCTCTCTCGTTGGTCTCTCTCTCTCTCAGCTCTCTCTCTCTCTGGTCTCTGTACTTCTGGCAGTTGAATGCTGATTTCCCATCCACGGAGCTCCGCAGTGGGTCTCCAGCAGCGGCGGGGACAAAACAGAACGCACCATGGGCTCCTGTCACTTCCCCGTAACCCCAGTGACCCCCTTCCTCCCCTCTCTCCCCCTTTCCCCCGCCCCAAAGCCCATCTCCGTCCCCCAGGCCAGCACTAGACCACGCCTTGAGGCCCTGCTCCCATTGTGCCTCTTCTGTTTGGGGCCTTTGTGCAACTCTAATCACCCGTGGGCCCCTCGTAACCCCCCGTACCCCCCTCACCCCCCACCATCACCACGGTCCACCCACACTCCCCCTTACCGCACACATGTCCCGGCCCAGTTACTGTGAGCAAGTCCTGGCCCCATTAGAGAGGCCTGGGAAGTTCTACTGTCTCCAGTCTGTGGGACTTAAAGCTGCGGTAAACAAACTTAACATGCTGTGAGGAAACCAGACCACAACATTCTCTATCTTCATCTTTTTAGAAAATATGTTCTTTTATGAGTGAGACAGAGCCCTGTGAGTCACTATTTGACTCATAGGGCCGAGAGCTGATTGGGTGAGTGAGGGTGGTCCTCTCTTTTTTAGTTTTCTGTCTGAAAAAGGCAATTTAAATATGGAATAGAGGCCAGACATACAGACTAGACTAAAAATCGACCAAGACCAGATCAAGACCAAAACTATTGAAAACTGACAGAAACTAGAAACATTAATTATTATTGTGATTTTAAAGTTATCTTTAAACCGACCACTCGATCAAACTACATTTTAGTGAGAGGATCCCGTTACTTCACAGTAAAACTTACTGTGACTGGATTCTGTTCTGAGCTTTAACTTTTAGCAACAATGCAAAGGAAGGTTTCTCACCCATCATCATCATCAGCAGGTCTAACGACCCTGCTGAACAGGGTCGTTAGACCTGCTCCCTTCTACATCAAGCAGACCTGAGATTGTTTACGAGTTAGTATCAGGATTAGGGTGTGGCTTACCACACCCATAGGTTATAAATCTCCAACGCGCGGTCCGAGAATTCATTCCCTGAAGAAGTCCCCAGGTTGAGGACGAAACGTCGGGAAAACTTGCTAAGAAGTACAGATGACGGGTGAGAAACCTTCCTTTGCTTTGACTAATCCCTGTACGACTGAGGGCTTACACAAATTTAGCAACAATATAAAGTTTGATATCATGTGTATATTTAACCACACACAGCTACATTTAGTGTCATGTAGACTTCTGGGACACAAACAGATGCACATGTTTATAGTGGACGACCGGATTCCATCAGTGCAGCATGACTGTTGGTGCAGCTGGAGTTGGCTGGATGATGCTGTGAAAGAATTGTGAGGGTGTCTGTGTGTCCGCAGCAGAGGCCCACAGAGCAGGACACAGGTGGTGGAAGCATAAATGACCACAAGAATTCAGTAAAATAATTTCTGTAACTTAAATATTTGTGTTCAATTCAATTGAACGTTTGGGTTGTGTCTCACCCTGAATCACAACAAGACTTTACAAAGTATTGTGATGGTGTCTGTGTGTCCGCGGCAGAGGGCCACAGAGCAGGACACAGAGATTCAAAGTGTCTCACCCTGAATCACAACAAGACTTTACAAAGTTGTGGATTTACCAACAACAGGTCAGAGAATCAAACACAAATGTGGAGAAAGAGACTAGAGACACTCAGACAAGACACTTCACCCCCATGGGAATGAGGCCTCGTTTATATGGAGACAATGCAACAGTAAAACGTTAGAGTTGGATATCGGTTTGGCCTCCAGTTTACACGGAGACGGAGTTCCAGGGGGGTGAAAATGTAAGCGTTGAGAACCAGCCTCCAGAGTGGAACAGCTCAGATAAGCTGCTCAGCGCGGCATGAAGAAAAATATGTGAATTCAGAAGCCGAGAACAAACGTAAAAACAATGGTGGCGGGTACACTAACTAGTTACATGGTCTGTGTGGATAGTTGGTGGTGGTGGGAGGAGCCAATGGAACAGACTGGTTGCTTCGCTTCTGTGTTTGGAGTGAAAGAATAATTACATCTGAAGAGACTTTGAGAGTCCAGAAAAGCCCTCCCTTGTGCTTGAAAGATAGAGTTCTGTGAGTCACTATGTTACTCTTTGAGCTGAGAGGAGCTGGCTTGAGTGAGGGTGGTCCTCTCTTTTTCACTTTTCTGTCTGAAAAAACTGATCTAAAGATGTGACAAAGGCCAAACATACATCAGAATGAGAATCAGAATCATTTTTAATGCCATGTAACAGGAAGTCACAGACTAAGAAATGGCTTTGGCTCTCGATGCAAACAAGGCAAAAGGAGAGAATAGAATAAGGCAAAATAAACATCCATAAACATTTCTAAAATATACAAATTAAAATTGTTTTAGTAGTGCACTCAGTGCACACAATAGATATTATGCAGTGCAGTAAAGTGACGTTATAAAGGGAAGTCAAGGGACGTTAGAAAGGGTGGGGGACAAGGTTATGAAGTGTTCAAGAGTCCAACAGCAGAGGGGAAGAAATTGTTCTTATGGCGGGATGTTCTGGTTCTAGTCCATTTGTAGGTGAGAGGGGTCAGCAGTGATACGACGTTCAAGCTCAGGCGTTGTACACGTCCTGCAGCAATGGGAGGAGAGCATACTCTCTCTGCAGAGCGTACAATGCGCTGTAGTCTCTGTTTGTCCCTGACTGTGGCTCCAGCGAACCACACGGTGATGGAGGAGGTGAGGATGGACTCGATGATGGCCGTGTAGAACTGCACCAACATCTGTGCAGGCAGCTTGGCTTTCCTGAGCTGCCGCAGGAAGTACACTGGGTCTTCTTGATGAGGGAGCTGATGGTCGGCTCTCACTTGAGGTCCTGGGTGATGGTGGTGCCCAGAAAACGAAAGGATTCCACAGAGGTGATGGGGGAGTCCATCAGGGAGGGCGGGGGCGGGAGGACAGTGCTCTTCCTGAAGTCAACAATGATCTCCACTGCGTGTGGGCGAAGCAAATGTTTTGAGAGGTTGGAACTGTTAGTTACATGTATGTATTCATCTTATTTGTGGTTTGAAAGTTACACACACATCTTATGTTGGCTATCGTTGCATTTCTTGGGTTTGAACCATTTGATTTTCTGATCTGTATTGGTATTGAGGGGCGACAGTAGCTCAGTTGGTAGAGCATTGGCCTTTGAGCCTGAAGGTCGTGGGTTCGAGCCCACCTCAAGACCTACTTCATGACTCCCACTGATGACTGCTGTCGTTGTGTCCTTGGGCAAGACACTTAACCCCACTTTGCCTGAAGCTCCCACTGAAAGATCTCAGCTCCTGTGGACTCACCACCTGCAGGAGGATCAGTGAGGGGCTGGTGCTCTGTGACTCGGTGCAGCACTGACTGCCACCCCCCCGACCCAGAAATGGATTAAGGGGAAGAAAATGGATGGATGGATCTGTATTGGCGAATCAACAGCTTTGAGAAATCCTCCGAGATAACTACTGTTGTGGTTTAGGGCTATACACAAATACATTCCACAGTCCACACAATGACACGTGTGGCCATATCTCGGTCAAAGTCTAGGGTTAACAGTTGTGAAAAGTCCATGTCACGTCTTTAAAGAGAAATAATGTTGTTGTAAACACTAACACCCCCATCATGTACTGTGGAGGAGGCGACAGGAAGGAGGTGCTGTTTATGGGATGGTCTCTCAGCAGGTCATCCCCAGACCCTCACACACACACACACACACACACAAAGAGACACATGCACACACATACAGACACATAGAGAGACAGAGAGAGAAACATACTCGCAAACACACAGAAACAAAAACACACCGAGAGAGAGAGACACACACACACACACGCACACACACACACACGCACACGCACACGCACACACACACGCACACATAGTCCAGGACATGCTAGGTCTTACATTCTTCATGAGCGATTGACATTCAAACAACAAAAGTGCGTGACCATGGGCGATTGTGGATCTGTGCGTGTCTCAGTGTGTGTGTGTTTTTTTTCTCTCTCACATACTAAAGCTCCACAAGTGTCATGGATGGTCACCATGATGTCATAGTGTTGTTATAGCGATGTCACATGGGGGTATGATGACATCACTATGACATCATACTCGTACAGGACTGAGACAGGAGCTTTTAGACGGAAGGGGCTGCGCTGCATGTTGGTGCGATACGTCAGCCTGGATGGAGCTAAACATATCTCCAGGTCTGTGACTGATGAGGGACAGTGTTGGAACAAACAAAACTCTGCACAACTCTCCCCCCTCACTCCTCCCTCTCTCCCCCCTCCACAGAGCTGACCCCCGAGAGAGGCTCCACGCTGGGATAGAGTAGCTGGGCTGGACGTGGGTGAGCGGAGGGGGCGAGAGGCAGGAAGAGCCCCCTCCACCCGCCCCACCCCCCTCCTCTCCCTCCACCCCCGCCTCTCCCCGGGTAACGAGCCGCCGTCTGCACGCAGGAAGCTGTTTGTGCACACGGACAATAGGTCTGTTTTTGGATCCAGCCGAGAGGCCGGTGGATCCAGGGTCAGAGGCTACGCTAAATGTTGAGGTAGCACCCAGCAGGATTAGCCACAGAGGATGTAGGTCAATCACATGCAGACTTATCCTGATTGATGTCACACTTTCTGCATCTCTTTGAAAACTCACCCTGTGTTTTATTGATTCTAATAACATTACATCTGTACATCGCTAAACAACATCTCTGAGTCTTTCTTTAGGACGATAGAAGAATTATGGATAATGATAATGAGACTTTTACTTTGTCATGTTTTAGAATGTGAAAAAATATCGTGTAACAGGTGTGAAGGGTAAAGCAAGGACAGTTTGTATAACACATACACAATTCAAACAAGATAGGAACAATCACACAATGATTTAAAATCATAAATAATCACAGTGCATTAAAAAGAGAGAAATAATACCATCTGCCTGTAACTTCTTTTTTTCTCAAATTCAAAAATATGATTGGCTGCAAACACAGACATGCAGTTGTAAAGAGAAAAATTTTGCCAGAGAAATTGTCAAAACTAACTCAGGGGCAATACTTTTGTTTTAAAGTCATAACAATGTCATAGGGATGTCAGAGTGATGTCATGTCATGGATGCCTGGATCTACAGTCTCAGTCCTGGATCTACAGCCTCAGTCCTGGATCTACAGCCTCAGTCCTGGATCTACAGCCTCAGTCCTGGGTCTACAGCCTCAGTCCTGGATCTACAGCCTCAGTCCTGGATCTACAGCCTCAGTCCTGGATCTACAGCCTCAGTCCTGGATCTACAGCCTCAGTCCTGGATCTACAGCCTCAGTCCTGGATCTACAGTCTCAGTCCTGGATCTACAGCCTCAGTCCTGGATCTACAGTCTCAGTCCTGGATCTACAGCCTCAGTCCTGGATCTACAGCCTCAGTCCTGGATCTACAGTCTCAGTCCTGGATCTACAGTCTCAGTCCTGGATCTACAGCCTCAGTCCTGGGTCTGCAGCCTCAGTCCTGGAACCTAAAGTCTCAGTCATCCCGCTCCTTATGGACCAATAGCTCCTATTTGCTTGTTATTATTGCATTTCCTGTGCTGGAACTGTTTGATTTTCTGATTCGTTGTTGGTGAATCCATAACTTTGTAAAGACCTATGAAACAACTGCTGTTTGATGTGATTTTGGGCAATACACAAATAGAGTAATTATTTTATTATGAGTTTCTCCTCTCACCCCAGAGGTCAGAGGTCAGATGCTAGGCTAAGGTTGAGGATGTAGGTCAACAACACATACACTAATCCTGAGGGATGACATATTTTCTTTATCTCTTTGAAAACTCTTTTGTTTTATGCAGTGACTTTAGCATAATAAACAAGCAATTCAAAAATCTATAACTTTAGTCGAAAATCTATAACTTTAGTCGAAAATCTATAACTTTAGCATAATAAAGAAGGAAGTCTAAAATGTCTGAGTTCAGTGCAATGTAGAACTTGAATCAAATCCAAATCTGCAATACTGATCCTTGTGCCCGGAGTCTTCTCAAATCAAGCCCAAAACTTTCCTCAAACAATCCAGATTATAGTTCCACTTGTGTCTCACCCCCTCCCTCCTCCCCATACCTCCCTCCCCCCCCCCCCCCCCCTCCCTGCTGCCAGGCCCATCGCCCCTCCGCAGGCCTAATGCGTGGAGACACCTGCCAAGCCCGCGGATCTTCAGAGCGCGCCGTAATCAGTGTCGCCCGCTTTAAAACCTGCGAAACCAAACAGCGCGATGGGATCCGCGGCGGGTGGATTGAAGCGCGTGCACGTGAGCCCCGCGAGTCAGCTGCGCGCGCACGGGTGTTGCTGCGGTACCGGTCTCATGTGTCATATCTTCGCTTGATGTGATGTGTTCGTGTGTTAAATAATGTTATAGCGCTGTTACTCCCTGTCTACTTGGAAGCTTTTAATTTGAAGATGCGACCGGATGTATTCATTTTTTTTCTACTGCTAACTTCCTGTGTGTGTGCTCACGGCCACGGCTACAGTTCCCCGTGCTGCCAGGGTCGGCACTAGATCATATACGGAATCGGGACGAAACCGGAAGTAACAATCCTACTTTCGAATTAGTTTTAGACTAAAAAGTCCTTAAGTGTTGACTGGTTAAGTTTTAGGGCATGTTCACGTTCATTAAATTGGTTTTGAACATTGTCAGAGATGTCTCACATTTTTAGTCCTGACTCTGGGACCGGCAGGAGGAAAGTCCCTGTGCTCCTCAGACTCCCAGCAGGAGGCCAGTCCCTGTGCTCCTCAAAGTCCCAGCAGGAGGCCAGTCCCTGTGCTCCTCAAAGTCCCAGCAGGAGGCCAGTCCCTGTGCTCCTCAGAGTTGTGACTTGTAAACTGTTGAATCTAATTGAATCTTTTATCTTTTCTCCTGTGTCTTTGAGTTCTACTGTCTGTTCGGTTGTTGGCTCTGACCCATGTGTCTCATCTCCTCTCTCTCTCTCTCTCTCTCTCTCTCTCTCTCTCTCTCTCTCTCTCTCTCTCTCTCTCTCTCTCTCTCTCTCTCTCCTGTCTCTCTCTCTCCTGCCTCTCTCTCTCTCTCTCTCCTGTCTCTCTCTCTCCTGCCTCTCTCTCTCTCTCTCTCTCTCCTGCCTCTCTCTCTTATCTCTCTCTCTCCTCTCTCTCTGTCCTGTCTCTCTCTCTCTCTCCTGTCTCTCTCTCTCTCTCTCCTCTCTCTCTCTCTCTCTCTCTCTCTCTCTCTCTCTCTCTCTCTCTCTCTCTCTCTCTCTCTCTCTCTGTCCTGTCTCTCTCTCTCTCTCCTGTCTCTCTCTCTCCTCTCTCTCTCTCTCTCTCTCTCTCTCTCTCTCCTCTCTCTCTGTCCTGTCTCTCTCTCTCTCTCCTGTCTCTCTCTCTCTCTCTCTCTCCTCTCTCTCTCTCTCTCTCTCTCTCTCTCTCTCTCTCTCTCTCCTGTCTCTCTCTCCTGCCTCTCTCTCTCTCTCTCCTGTCTCTCTCTCCTGCCTCTCTCTCTCTCTCTCTCCTGCCTCTCTCTCTTATCTCTCTCTCTCCTCTCTCCTGTCTCTCTCCTGTCTCTCTCTCTCTCTCTCTCTCAGTTCAGTCCAGTTGTTTTGTTTCATTCTGGTCTTGGATTTTGGATTCTTGTTTATTAAAGTATATTTCTTGTCCTTGCTCTTCTTTTGATTGTGACAGGACCAGGACCAGTGCAAATAACAGCTTCTTTGAAAAAAGATAAGATAGACTTTTTGATCTCACACAGAAGAAATGAACACGCCGCATCTGGTATGGATAGAAATGAGACAACATGTTAAATGCAGAATATATTTTGTACAATACATCTGCACAAAAGCAGATGTATCAATAATGCTTTCTTCCTTCTGTTGTCCCTGGTGTGTATCTGGTGTGTCTCTGATGTGTCCCTGGTGTGTCTCTGGTGTGTCTCTGATGTGTCCCTGGTGTGTCTCTGGTGTGTCTCTGGTGTGTCCCTGGTGTGTCTCTGATGTGTCCCTGGTGTGTCTCTGGTGTGTCTCTGGTGTGTCCCTGGTGTGTCTCTCGTGTATCTCTGGTATGTCTCTGGTGTGTCCCTGGTGTGTCTCTGATGTGTCCCTGGTGTGTATCTGGTATGTCTCTGGTGTGTCCCTGGTGTGTCTCTGGTGTGTCCCAGGTATGTCCCTGGTGTGTCTCTGGTGTGTCCCTGGTATGTCTCTGGTGTGTCTATGGTATGTCTCTGGTGTGTCACTGGTGTGTCCCTGGTATGTCTCTGGTGTGTCTCTGGTGTGTCCATGGTGTGTCCATGGTGTGTCCCTGGTGTGTCTCTGGTGTGTCTCTGGTGTGTCCATGGTGTGTCCCTGGTGTGTCTCTGGTGCATCTCTGGTATGTCTCTGGTGTGTCTATGGTATGTCTCTGGTGTATCTCTGTTGTGTCTCTGGTGTGTCCCTGGTGTGTCTCTGGTGTGTCTCTGGTGTGTCTCTGGTGTGTCCCTGGTGTGTCTCTGGTGTGTCCATGGTGTGTCTCTGGCATGTCTCTGGTGTGTACATGGTGTGTCCATGGTGAGTCCATGGTGTGTTGCTGGTGTGTCCCTGGTGTGTCTCTGGTATGTCTCTCGTGTGTCCCTGGTGTGTAGCTGGTTTGTCCATGGTGTGTCCATGGTGTGTCTCTGGTGTGTCCCTGGTGTGTCTTTGGTATGTCTCTGGTGTGTCTCTGGTGTGTCCCTGGTGTGTCCATGGTGTGTCTCTGGTGTGTCCCTGGTGTGTCTCTGGTATATCTCTGGCGTGTCTCTGGTGTGTCCCTGGTGTGTCTCTGGTGTGTCCCTGGTGTGTCGCTGGTGTGTCTCTGGTGTGTCTCTGGTTTGTCTCTGGTGTGTCTCTGGTGTGTCTCTGGTATGTCTCTGGTGTGTCGCTGGTGTGTCTCTGGTGTGTCTCTGGTTTGTCTCTGGTGTGTCTCTGGTGTGTCTCTGGTATGTCTCTGGTGTGTCTCTGGTGTGTCTCTGGTGTGTCGCTGGTTTGTCTCTGGTAAGTCTCTGGTATGTCTCTGGTGTGTCTCTGGTTTGTCTCTGGTGTGTCTCTGATGTGTCTCTGGTGTGTTGCTGGTGTGTCCATGGTGTGACGCTGGTGTGTCGCTGGTGTGTCCATGGTGTGTCCTGAGCCGTGACTATCGTCCATCTGAAATAACCCCAAAAAGCCCCCGTCTCATTAAGCACGCCTGTTTGACAATTTAAATATAAATGAATCTAATTTGGAACGCTCTGCTCGACCACAGCGTCCATTTAGAGCCAATCTATAATTAATGAGTGCGAGAGGAACGTCTGCAGACTCAGCGAAGGCCGTGAGGGAGACCAGAGCCGGGTCTGGAGCCGGGTCTAGACCCACTAAGACTTGTTCAAAGACCTCCTTTATGGTCAGTATGAGAATGTTTACTATCTCACCCAGGTCAAACTGGTTATCTGACTGTACAGAGTAAAAGCTGTTTTTAATTTGGACCCTCTCCCCGCCTGAGAGACTCCTCAGTCCTGCACTGTACAGCCTCAGTCCTGGATCTACAGCCTCAGTCCTGGATCTACAGTCCTGGGTCTACAGCCTCAGTCCTGGATCTACAGTCCTGGATCTACAGCCTCAGTCCTGGATCTACAGCCTCAGTCCTGGGTCTACAGTCTCAGTCCTGGATCTACAGCCTCAGTCCTGGATCTACAGCCTCAGTCCTGGGTCTACAGTCTCAGTCCTGGATCTACAGCCTCAGTCCTGGATCTACAGCCTCAGTCCTGGATCTACAGCCTCAGTCCTGGATCTACAGCCTCAGTCCTGGGTCTACAGCCTCAGTCCTGGATCTACAGCCTCAGTCCTGGATCTACAGCCTCAGTCATTATTGCATTTCTTGTGTTCAAACTGTTTTATTCTCTGATATGAGACAGGAAATCACCTGTCTATAATAATATAGACAATATTTCTTCTTTAAGAGGAAGACAATATCACAATATAAACACCAGGATCACAGAGAGAGTGAAACCACAGATTTAAACCCAAAATGTTGAATGTGACTGAAACGGTTACTGGGCTAGAGTAAAAGTAAAAGTGTAAAAGTAAACAATTTTTACATGGAAGTCAGAGGGAGTTGGAGCCAAACTTCACCATGAGCACTTCCTTTATAGGCTTCTTTGAGCTAGCGCATTAGCATTGTGCCTCTGTACAGTATACAGTCCATGGTCAGAGCTGCTGTTAAACTGGTGTGTTCTCTGTCGCTGAGCGTGTGTGAGCAGACGCCACTGTTGTCTTTACAGGTGTCTGACGCACACGCCATAAAACCAGCAACAACACTGTTTTAGAGGCTCACAAAACACTGCACAACACCAACGAGACGACCACTGCTGAGCGCCATGGAGCGAAAACTCAGAGCAGAGGGCCTGGGTTATCATTACACAGGGTCCACACTGGGATATCTGTATTATGAAGGTCTCTCTCTCTGGTCTCCTGTCTATGTCTGGTCTCTGGCCTCTCTAGTCTCTCTCTGGTCTCTTCCTCTGTCTGATGTCTCTCTGGCCTCTCTCTGGTCTCTCTGGCCTCTCTCTGGTCTCTCCCTCTGTCTGGTGACTCTGGTCTCTCTGGCTCCTTTCTGGTCTCTGGCTCTTTCTGGTGTCTCTCTGGTCGCTCTCTGGTCTCTGCCTCCGTCTGGTGTCTCTCTGGTGTCTCTCTGGTCTCTCTGGTCTCTGCCTCTGTCTCTGGCCTCTCTCTGGTCTCTCGCTGGTCTCTCTGGTGTCTCTCTGGTAAACATTTCATGATCGGTTGGATTTTATCTTAATTATAATTATCGAGGACGTTCAAAGATTTTCCGATGGGACAAAACCATTTAGTCTTATTTCAACTGATCTCTCATTCCAAGGGAAACATTTCTTGTATATCTTTTTTTAAACAAGACCATTTTGCTCATCAAATCTTGTTTAAAGGCAGTCAGAATGTGCTCAAATTAAGATTTGCCAAATTTGAGATTTATTAGACAAATTTTTCATCTATTTTTTCAGTATAAGGCTCACTTCATCAGAACTTTTACTGAATGGCCTTCATATAACTGTCTGTTTAAAACTCGACACGTTTTTCACATGGTCTCCCTCTCTCTCTTCTTCTCTGGTCTCTCTTTCTGGTCTCTCTCTGTCTTTCTTGTTGTCCGTCTGATTT